ATACAAGAAATGGGAGAGCCAGTGTGGAGAGAAACATATGGGGACAGGAGGAGGGAAATGGACAAGGAGGTAATGAGGGTGTCTGGAATGGAACTAATAAAGCTGGTGGAGCCAAGCTGCTTCATTGGAGAGATGGACAAAGTGAAGGAGGAGAAGGGGAATCAGTGACATAAGTCAGTCTTGTTACAGAATTACTACCAAAGACATTTTCATTTTTAAGGAAGGAACCATGTGCAGGAGGCAGATGCTGTGGTGAAGGCAGGGTTGAGTGGTGGTGGCACACTCACCACTGTGAGAGGCAGAGCCTCGTGCATCAAGGGTAGGGGTGAGATAATCAGCAAAACAAACAATAGTAGCGAAGGAACAAAGTAAGGAGAGAGTTTGAAAGCAGTCAAGAAGTCATCCATGCTGCAGGTCACATGTTGGCCAAATACATGGATGTTTTCCAACCTTTCCCTTTCCTTTTCTTTGCAGATGAAGCCTCCTCCCCATTCCTAAACTCAATATCTTTTCCTATCTAGTCTGCGTTGATTTTTGCACGCCTACTAAAATGCAAGGAAAGCCATAGCATCAGTCATGTTTCTATACACATATGCCCTAAATGACTCTACTGGTCAGATCCTAAGCTAATGTAAATTGTCATTGCTTCAATCAAGTCATTGAAGCTATAAAAATATATCTTAGCTGTGGACCTGAATATGCTTCTGTGTTCATATCAAAAATTTCTATAAGGAGAATCGTGTCTAGTCTTCTTATTTCTATTCAATATCTTTCCTTTTGCTTTCTACAGGAAGATGTTATTGCTTTTATTCCACACTGTTTCCTTTCTCTTTGTCCATCTGTTGATTTCATCAGTTTCATTGTTTCTCATTGCTAGTTTTCTAGAGTCCCTTCTCCCATATGTACCTCCATGTTAATGGGGTCTTTTTTGTACATCCCAGTTTAACCGTCCCTCTATACACCACAAACTTCCAGAAATGAAAAATGATAAATCCATTTATGCCTCTCATCCTGTCCTGATATTCAATGGAGACAGTGGGGACCATGACTGTGAGCAAAGGCTGAAACTTCACATCCCTGTGGGTACTTAGTAATAGAAAATACGTCCCTACTTCGAGCCATATGTCCTGTTCGTGTTGCAGTTGTAACCACAGTCATATATGCCTGACAAGCCCCTTAACACCAGCAAAGGAAGAAAACACTCTGGCTGAATTTCTTACAGCACATTTTACAAATAAATAGTACTGTTATTATCCTATTCGAGTCCAGCCAGGAAAATAAGCATCTCAGCAACCGATATTTCAAAGGAATGGGATTCTGTGTTTGTTTGTATATGCACGTATGCTTTTATTAAATCAAAACATGACAAAAGAGGCACTTCTGATAACAATGACATGTAAGATGAATGTAAAATAAAATGGTCAAAAACGTGTTTGATGGATGAGGTTAAGGATGGAAGCCTCTGTAGCAATTCAGCTAATGAGCCTTGTTTTATTCATCTCATGTTACCGCTGCCAGGAATGTATCAGTCGTAGGACACTTTTAGTGACCTTTCAGGCACAGCCAGGATAAAACGCCTGCAGAAAGGGCAGCATTTTGCATGCTTTAAGAAACTAGCTCAGAGTCCACAGAGAGCTTTTAGCACTGTCTGGACCCCACAGGCTTTGCAGTGCTGAGAAATTGCCACCATCAAGAAAACTTGCTACTGAAATCCTTTTGTATTGGAGTTAACTTTCTATCACCTACCTTTACCTACCTTGCAAAGTTTGCTGTGTGTAAGAAGCCATTGTATGCCTACAACAAGGTCACAGCAGTACTCTCTGCCTCACCATCATTTGGTTACACAAGTGGGAACTTCTACTGTCAGTTGAACACAGAAATGTCTCTACAAGCTTGCCTTGTTTGTCACTTGACAATCTGGCTTGTTAACACTGTGTTTACTCTGTACAACAGGGCAAAGACACAATGCATGCAGAGGTATTTGACATTCATCTTTCTCTCATGCCCACACAAACTCATTTTAATCAAAGAAAGCTTTTTCTTAACGCATTGATTTAGCCTTCTGAAAACAATCCTAAAATCACCCTTTTTGACCTTTTGCCCCATGACTTCGAAACAAAGTATCTATGCCTGCAGCCTTCTAATGATGGTTTACCAGTTGCTTGAAGGGTCTAGGGAAGTACACAAGAAATGCAAAGTCAGACAAATGCATATAAGCAACATCCATAAAGTGACATGGGTTGACACCAGTGAGACACTCAGTCCAACACAGGTGTTTTCTGACTTGTGTTGTCAGAGGTCAGGAGTGAGAAAAAAAGAGGAAAACTGGGCAAAAGAACAACAACCCGTAGCTACAGCAAAGACATGTCCACCCTTTTGCTGCAATTTTTGTATTTGAATAAGAGAGGTTTTATTTCCGCCGATCCTAGCACTTCACTCAACAATATTCCTATAGTGAATTCTTCATTCTGTGCCTATAAACTTAATATGTTTTCAAAGACATGATCACATTGTAACAGTTATTCTGGTGGTTACAGACAATGAGTAAGTAGGAAGCAACAAATGGCATTTATTTTGATTTTAGCAAGATTTTGACCCTAGGAAAGGTTTGTAAGCAGGCTAGGGAAGCGCTGTCCAGATGCAGTCATCATAGGTTGTGTGCAGAATTGTTTAAAACTCTATTTGAAATTTAGTTATCAACCAGCTGGGATGACATTTTAGATGGGATCCCACTGGGACCTTGGCTAGGGAAATAATTTTCTTCATTATTTTTGTTAACAACAAGGATGATAAAGGAGAGAACATTTGTAAAATTTTCAGAGGAAACCAGCCTGGGAGGGGTAGAAGCACTTGTGAATATTGGATTAGAAGTCAGAATGATCTTGAGAAATGGCTTGAAATCAAGAAGATGAAATTCAATACAGACAAGTGCAAAAGAACTCCTGTGGGGAAGAATCAATCAAGTGTCTTCAGATAAAATACGGACTGCTTGGCTAGACTACAGTTTGTGTCAAAACACAAAAATAAAGATCTGGTTATTAAGCATTTGTATGATATTGTTGAAAACAGAAGGGAAAAAAAAACCCAAAACAAACCAACCAACAAAACCCCCACCATGTTATTCCAGGTAATGTACAGAAGACATACATGGCAGTTGTTCCAGTTAGTCCTGACTTGTGCACCACACTGTAAGAAAAATATAAGCAGACTGAAGAAGGATCTTCTGGCTTGGTAATTTAGAGGCTTGGAAAACATGGGCTGTGAGAAAAATTTGAAAGAACTAGGTATGCTTAAATCTGGAAAAGATGGATAGCATAAAAATACTTTTTGAAAATGCTTAAAAGTAGTTATGAAAGAAAAAAAAATGGCTCATTTGTCTTCATATCCATAGGGAGAAAAGGCCAAAATGTAGAAAAGTAGTTAATTTGCAGGAAATTACATTTAAATTAGACATTAGGAAGTCAGGCGCAGGGAAAGGCAACGCAGAGAGACTATAGAACCTCCTTCATTAGAGATGTCAGGGATTAATTTAGTAAAACTTCATTCTGGGATAGGAGTATACATAATGATGCCACAGAGCACAGAATCAGCTAAATTATTTCTGCAGGGACCATTCTTGCCAGGGAAAAAGGTGGATGACGGGTTCAACATGTCTGTGGTTGCAATGGAGGCATACTATACCGGTCCAGGCTAGTGTTTCCATGGCTTTTTGCTTGCAAAGTAAATGATGGACAGAGGGGTACAAGAATTTGATTTTGTAACATGTCTGGAATGCGTGTGACTGCATTGATAAGTGTGGCACACATTGAGGGGTAGCTTAGTATAAAAATACCTCATAAATGCAAGTCTTAAGGACACCAACCACTGTAAAAGTTCTTAAACCAAGGGTTATAAATTTACATTTTGTGATTTTTGTGTGAATGTTCCTGCATTTTAGATCCACAAGAAGCTGTCCTCTGTCAAAGAACCTTTTCTTTTTTTTTTTTTTTGCTTTTAATGTACACACAGCCAGTCTGTCAGTAGCAGTGCCCAGACCTGTGAAAAAGCACTTCTATACCTGAACTCTTTGGCCCTTTTCTATCAAAGCAAATTCAAATTCACATCTGCTATGTAAGAGGCAATATTTCAGGGATGAGAGCTGCCCACAAATAACCCCCAAAAGCCAATAGCTGGGTGTCCTGGTGCAAAGGAAGCAAAGGGTGTGCTTTCACCTGTGTAAAGAAAGTGTTACAGCAGAGAAACAGGGGTTTCAGGCTCACGTGAGATTGAATTGCCCTGGAAATTGTTTAAAATAAACATGAGAAGACCATCGGGAACTTGCAGTACTGTGAATTAATAAATAACTCCCACCCTACAACCTTCCTGCAGACCTCCAGCACCTTGAGAGAAATGCTGGTTTCCTTAGATCTGTGAAGCCTCATCTCTGAAACTCAGATAAATTGTTCCAGCTCTCTGTTCGTGCATTTCAACCCAAATGTCAAAGCAGGGAATCAGAGAAACTTCTGTCTCTCAGGCAGTCGGATCAATGTGCTCTCTCCTCTACATCACTGAACCACAGTATGACAGCAAGCCAGACACAGTAATCACAGTCAGAAGCAATGTATTCGTGCCAATAAATAAATGGGTTTCAGCATTCGTAATATCAGAATAGCGTGTTGTTTTGTACTCCAGTGAGGTGATCTACTTGAAAAAGAGGGATGTGTGGCTATTTCTGATAGACAGGTGGCTGTGATAAATTCCTCATTGTCTTTCTGTGATTTTAAAATTAATTTGATTTTAAAATTTAAAAAGAGACTTGGCCTTTCTTTTTTGTTTGTTTGTTTTTTACCCTTTTTCTGCATCTCCACAATTAGCTGGTCTAATTTTAACAGATTATGTGGAGACCCATCAAAAATAATCTGTGACCCATCAAAAATAATGTGTGCTGGGTGGTTCTTGAATGATAGTTCCTATCACTTCTGAAAAGATGTTGCTAATGAAAGCAATTTTCCCCTTTTCAGTTGATTTCATAGGTGGATTTGACTCTTACGGCTATCAAGGTCCACAGAAGACATCTCATTTACAGCTACAGCCCATGTATATGTAAGTACTTAACTTCTGAGATATTTTGCAGAGTGGCAGGCTGATATTAAAGGATCATTAAGCTGAAACATGACGTGACTCAGAAATTCAGAATAGGCAGAAGCCTTTTTTGATAGACTGAATTCAAGCTACACTTAAGCACCAATATTACTCTTCTGTTGAATTATAATGATTTCTTAGAGCAGGATATAATGTGTCACAGTTGTTTAAATAACATCCAGCTCTCATCTGGTTTTCCACAATTTTCATTGAAGCAGGTTGCACTCCATGAGAATTTCATGTAGAAAAAATTGTCAGATCTGACAAAACTTGGTTGCAAAAAAGTGGTTTTTATTAAGATGTATCAAAAGTTCAGCAACTTGTTAATTTAGTGGATGCATTTAGCATTTGTCTTACCAGCGCATCTGTTCACTGAGGCACCTCTATACCTCATTTCCAGTCTCCACATTTAAGAAAAACCAAACCAAATGCAACAACATATGGCTTTTAAACACAGTTTGAATAGAAGACAGTATTTTACCTAGCCAGTGACTGACAACTCCATCCACTGCCTAGAAGTCAGCCTGATATATTTGGGGATTAAATGAGTAATCAAATGTCAGCACATACACACAACTGGAGTACATTCACACTAGAGCTAATACCCAACCATAGACCAGTACAGGAATAATCATCTCCAGATATTTCTTGTACTGATGCCAAGTGCAATGCAGAACAGTCCTGACTGCCCAGATAAATCTTACCTCACTGCTGCAGCCTTTTGAAACGTTTGTTATTCACCATCACTATTTGTCATCACCTACACGGTAAAAGCACAGCGCGAACAGCTCACAAAGGGGCAACGTTTACTTTTTTCCTTTGTTTCTCTTCTGAACATCTCTTTTGAGGAAAATAGCTAAATACGGGCAAACAATATCCATCCCAACATACACTTCCATTCACCCTTGAATGTAATTTCATTACTTCTGATTAGTGGAAGCAAGTCTGCTAATGGATTAGTGGATTTTTGCACAGAACTGGCATTTATTCCTTTATCAGTGGTAAAATCAATTCTGCGGTAGTGCTTAGGATTGGGCCCTTTGGGAGCTTTGCTAGGAGCTTTTTAATAATCTCAAATTACAATAGTGCATATCTCCAATGCCATCTTAACTTCAGCTTCCCATCTGTCTGTGCTCAAGTAAAGATTTTTCACCTGCACTTTTGGCACAGTGCTGTGCATTTAGAAAATGTTATTTCCTTCCTAGTATTGTGTGTGGCTCATAGGTACTTAGAACAATTCTAATCCTATTTCTTTCTCAGTATACCATACCTTGTCATCAACATATGGGGCCCTCTAGCTGAGATATTATCCCATTCTCTTTATGCTCTCAGTGTTTCTTCCAGAACAGCAGATTGCATTTACTTCATACTGACTGGAAAGAAAGCTAGACCTGTGGAAAAAAAGAAGGCAATACTTTTAAGCTTGTAGCTGAGACGAAGAGATATATGATCAACCCATGTACACTGTGTTCCTCCTTATTTTGATGCTGCATTCTTGCTGGAGTATAGGCGATTTCGCTGTCTTAACTGAGGGACAGAAAACAGTATGTGAGCTGACATTTTGTGCAATCAACCCACAAAAGTATTGCCATGTCCCAGCCACAGTCAAACAAAGACACTTCATGTTTCTCTCTGACTGTATAGTATTTGACAAGGTTCTCCAGAATTGCTACAGTCTGTCCTTAAGAGGCTTTTACAGCATTTAGTAATACCTTGCTGTTATTTACAGCTGAGGCGCACCAGGAACACATGCATATGTATTCAGACTGCAGTTGCTCTGCAAATGTAGGCAGACCATTAAGTAGTGGAGTGACAAATTCGAATGTCAAATTAATCAAGCCGTGGTTTGATCTGCTTGTAGCACTATTTACAACAATATTACGTACTGGAAATCAAAACACACTGACATGATAACAGCAGGCCATACTTGGCGCTTTAAAGCTTTACTTGTTGGGAGGAAGGGTTTGGTTCCCTAGGGATCTTGTTCACCAGAGACCATCAGTGTTAGCGTCTGTAGTACTCAAGGAAAAAAGAAAAGAAATACAGGACTTTACATTACTCTCTGGCCAATGTCACCTGCACCTTACAGTGCTCAGCATCTCTAAGGGATGAGTAAACAGTAAGAATCATTTAACCTAAAAAGGCAGAGGATGGGGAGGGGAGGGGAGGAAGGGAAGGGAAGGGAAGGGAAGGGAAGGGAAGGGAAGGGAAGGGAAGGGAAGGGAAGGGATAATCATATCTATCCAGGATACAGCTATACCCATACATATCCGTACAGCTGTATTCATATAACCATTTCCACAATTGCTACAAAATGCCTTTGAATCCATAGGCAGTGGAGGATATATTAAGCATTATCCTGTCTAATTCCTGCAAAAGTTCAAGAAAATATGAAGACAGATTTTTGCCATCTCTACATCCTCTACTACTGAGGCTCACACTGGGTACAACTAATGCAGAGGTCTGTGTTTGTGAGAGAAATAGGAGATAGTTGCCTTTAAATCATCTGGTTCCTGACTATAGCCAGAGGCACAATAACACCTCTTTTTGTTGCCTGTGGTGTAGTAGTACCTATAGGCATGCTACAAAAGTGAAGGAGAACATATGGCCTCAACTTTGGAGACCTTATCAAAACAATATCAGCTTCTAATGGCTGTACGGATTCTGTCAAAATGCAAATTTCAACATGTATTTCAATAATAAGCACAGAGAACTCCCCGTATAGTTACCAGATTGATTCATACACAACAATAGTGCAAATCTGAAAGACATACAGAGTTTTGTGGTAGGTCTCAGTTGTCCCCCATGTACTGCTTGCTGATGTGAATTGATTTAGTGGATTGCAATGACAGAATTCCATCAACACAAACTTTTATTTCAATTCAAGCCAGACAGATTTACATCCAAGTGATTTAAATCAATCTTTACTGTTTTATACATGCACAGTTTAATTATTATCCTGAAGGAATGCTAGGTTTAGTAATTGTAAACTGTTAAGACACAGTGTTTTGTAAACAGTTTCCTCCTGTGTGCTAAATTTAGCACTTCATTTTGTTAATTTGGGGGTTATACTGAATCTACACAAACTAACACATGCGATTAAATAATTATATTGATTTATTCAGGCTCCTAATGTTTACATTTCTATTGTGTCAGGACTCTTTTATCTAAAGAATTATTATTTTTTATTTGTGATATGAATCAAGCTCTATTTATAAGAACATTCCAATGCAGTTTAAACACACATGGTACATTTGTGTGGAATTTTGTATGTTATTTGTAACTACCATAAACAAACAGGATACTTAAGGGGAAAAAAATCTTGATTTATGAAAAAGAAGTGTTATCTGTAGCTAGTGAATTGAGGCAACTGTCTCTGGCTACTGTTCCCTTAAATAGTCTAGAATTATTAGATTCAGGCTCACTTTGTTTCTTTTCTCTATGTGTTAGGTTTTGAATTCCAATCATAATTCTCCTTATCATCTCTCCCAATTTCACATTTAATTTAAATCAGCTTACTTTCTAAAGAGAAAAATATATTCCACTTAAAATTATGTTTTAAATAAAACACTGGTGTTTTGGGGAGAATTCTTATAATTATGTTTATCTACCTGTTATAAATGGCTTTTTTTTTTATTATTTAAGTGCCAACAGCGTGCTCTATGCTGTACAAACCAAGAAGCCTAGACAGTCCCTTCAAAACGAATACGCTTTTTAAACAGAACAGGACAGAACTGGTGCTCATGTACCTCCTTGCAGTGTCGCCACAGACGATGTACTAAAAAGTAGCTTCCTGGCATTTTGTGCGGGAGATGCCAATGCTCATTTCCAGACCATGGGACAAGAACACAATAAGATGGTGGAAATCAATTGTCAAGAGAAAATTCTGCTCTTGGGAAGTGACCGAGGAAGGTGACTAAACACTCCATGGCACTGATTCTGCTGCACATGAAAAAGCACAGTTATAGTTGTGGAACAAGATTGCACTGCATGATCACTGCTCTAAAAATAGCAGGAAGGAGGGAGGGAGGGGAGAGAGATTTTTCTTTACATTTTTCACAGTAAACTTGTTTGCTCAAGAAAAGAAGAAGTGAAGCAAAAAAAAAGCATGCATGTCTGATGCTGATGCCTAATGCACTGGAGAAATTGCTCAAAAGCAGTTCAGCCCTGAAGTGAAGCTTGCTTTCCTCGTATTCTGTGAAGTCTGAGAATCTTTTGATTATATATATATACACATACATACTATATATGGCTAGAAACACACACACACCTATATGCACACAGACCCCTTTATATACATGTCTGTTTATATATATATGCCCACTTATGTGTATTCTGCTACACAAGACTATTGGCAGGCACTGCTTTTCACTAAAGGGCACTTAGTTTCTGGCTAACAGGATCCTACCTTTCACTAAATGTTAGAGGTATTTTGTGTCAATAACTTCAGGACAGAGGGGTGTAGGAGGGGTTAATACATTTGCCCTAGTACCTGGTCCGACCTTTTCTCTTGGTGGTATTTACATGTGCATTATGCTGGCCATGGTCTCCTAGTATGAGGCTGTAGGTATTTGTCTCCATAATTGCACATACCAAGGGTACTACCTACTTTTCCATTCACTTGAAGTATAAATGAAACATAAGCAAGACACAAAACCCAGCACCTAGGGTATAAACACTGTGATGCTCAGCAAGTTCATGCAGTACAAGTCTGCTATGTTACTGTCTCCTTAAGATTCATGTTTGCGGGATTCAGACATTATGGACAAATTTTCATTTAAAAAGGCACCTGAGATTGAGCCTTTCTGTCCTGCGTACTGCATCACTTCTTGCTTTTACAAAGACAGCTACATTTCTGATGGATTATTATAGTTACGGTCACCTTCCAGGTGACTCATGGATATATAGTTAAGATTCTAATTAAATACTATTCCTGCCTAGAATAGCTTAGAAAACCTGTGCGGA